TGGCCTTCCTTTGTGTCCGCCTGTTCTCAGTTAACTATCTCGATGATAGTTCTCCTGCCTGAACTATTTGCGTTTGTGGTTTTTTTTGTTAAATCCTGGTAGACTTTAGGACCTTAGGAGCTCTGACCCTTATGAATCCCTTAATAATATCGCATTTGGCAATGAACCTTAGGATCTTTACAGTATACCAACAAGCCTCTTTGAACCTCGCTCCTCAGCTGCATACCAATAAGACGGAGAACACTTAGACAACAAGGCCCCTTGACCTAGACCTCCAGTGGGACACTGGACGATTACCTTGGCCAGCTTGATGTCAGTAACCCTCTTTGAACCTCGCTCCTCGGCCGCATACCAATAAGACGGAGAACCCTTGGACAACGAGGCCCCTTGACCTAGACCTCTAGTGGGACACTGGACGATTACCTTAGCTCACGATGGATGCTTCTTAGTTGGATCCTAGTTGGGTATGCTCCTTGTGGGTGGACACTGGCTTGATGTTGATAACTCTCCTTGAACCTTGCTCCTCAGCCGCATACCAATAAGATGGACAACCCTTGGATAACAAGGTCCATTGCCTAGACCTCGGAGGTGGGAACCTGTCCTAATACTAAGACCTCCAGTGGGATACTGGACATCTGTCTAGACCTCAGAGGTGGGATACCTGACTCTTGCCTAGACCTCGGAGGTAGGAACCTGTCCTGATGCTAAGACCTCCGGTGGAATACTGGACATCTGTCTAGACCTCAGAGGTGGGATACCTGACCCTTGCCTAGACCTCAGAGGTGGGAACCTGTCCATATGCTAAGACCTCCAGTGGGATACCGAACATCTGTCTAGACCTTGGAGGTGGAATACCTAACCCTTGCCTAGACCCCAGAGGTGAGAACCTGTCCTGATGTCTAGACTTCCAGTGAGATACTGGACTCCTGGGACCTTACTCTTTGGCCAAACTCCAATAAGCTGGATTCACCTTAGATACCAAATACCCCTGTCTAGACCTCCAGTGGAATACTAGAATCCAGATGCCAAGACCATCAGTGGGATGCCGAACCTGTTTATATCTCTGGAGCCTGACCGTGCCAGTGGAGTACCTGAGACTACCTGCCTGGACCTTGTCCGTTATATAACTGTTCAACTACCTATATTAGAAATACTCTGTCCATCAAAGTCTGCTGTTCCTCTGAGGGAATCAGCTGTCTTTAAATACAAAGTTTCATCCATGTCCTGCATGGGTGAATTCCTAAGTATTTCTTAAACAAAACCACAAATAAAATAGAGTATCAAAGGATACTTGAAACTACAAGTAAAACAAAACATAAAACAAATCCCTGAACCGAATGGACTAAACTCCAGTCCCAGTTACATGTGTGCTTTGGCTACTATGTTTGAAAAAGTGGCTATGATGTAAAGGCTCATTGTATGGGGAGCAGGAATGGTGCAAAGTGCAACTTGAAAGAATCAGTATATAGCTGTAAGTAGTATGGCAGGCCTCTTTGACTAGGGTGACTTAGTTAATTCTTCTGCTACTCTAGCTGAAAGGATCAAGAGAAACTTCTTCTTCTCTTTTTTTGGAGCTGGTGGAGTACATGCTGTGGCCTCAGCAAAGAAGTTTTTTTTAGGGCTTTTTCAATTCCCTTCTAGGGCAGGGGTACTATGGAGAACACTCTTGCTATGAGGGACTTGATAGAACTCTAAAGGGTGGTGAGGTGAGGTGTAGGTACTGCTGGGCCCTTTTCTTGTGAGCAACCAAGGCATTATTTCAACACATTAAGTCTTGAGGTAATATTAATGAGAAGAGAGATAAGGACTAACTTCCTAGTAGAGAAGTCATACGTATTGTTCTCATAAGCAAGAAAGGAAAGAGTGAAAGCTGCAGGGAGGAGAGAGATTTGATTGAGAGCTTCTTGTTGAGTGATATCGAGCAGGGCAGGAGAGGTGCCAGTGGCCCTTGAACTGATATCAGAAGATCTGGTAGAGGCCCTGGTTGAGTCTCTTTGGACTCTGGTGCTATGGACACTGGCACAGATGAAGGGCCTGACACTGGCCTGGCGGGGGGTGCAGTAAAGGCAACATCTATTCTCTCTGACATCAGGGTAGATTACTGCGTATACCCAGATATCTCACCACCACTGAAGCAAAAAAAATAAAGTTATTTTGGGGGCAAAGGGCACGGAAACAAGATTTTTGGTGAAGGTTGGATTTCAATAACTAGGTATGAATGGGGTGTGGAGCATGTGCGAAAGTACCGTGAAGAAACCCTAATCACTACCATGGTCCCGCAGTACCTATCCTAGTGGTCAGTCACGGGAGCGCAAGGACCCTGTTGGATGTGTCGTACGGTGACCCCTCTGACCACTCCGTCATAATACGCTTCGCTTTCTGTATAAAAGTCCCTTTCAAGTCATTACAGGTACCTCCCGCGCAGCTGGCCCGACTCACGGAAGGTGAAAGCCAGTCCTGGTTTCTTACACTCCCCTCACGTGATGGAAACACTGCCCCCCACGACGCTCAAGGAGTTTATCAACAGGATGTTTTCGCAGGATACCGGTATATCATAAGAGGAAGAGCAAGAGTACTGGTATCCACAAGCCAGCTCGTACTGTAGGTCACGCGAGAACACACTATCGCTCGTTCTCTAATCCGAACATCTCTGGACTGTTCTAGGTTGACCCTGTTCGTCCCCCGAATATCATTCGGTAACCTCACCACGAAGGAATACACCAGTACCTCCAAAGTCCAACCCCCCCCCGAAGCACTTTCATTTGATAGTTCCGTTATTTTATGAAGGTTACTATAGAACTCCCATCCACTCGCCCACTAAAAACTTCGCGGCCAATTCAACATAATCACATGGATTCATCAAATCATTAACACCATCCCCGACCCACCGATCACCGGTCACGCAACTGTAGAAGAAAAAAGCATCAAGAAAATATCGTGCCCCTCTAGGAGCTATGTTGACTAGATCGACCTGTTCCGGTCGAGTCTTTCAAGGAGGGTATACGCTATTGAGATACCTTAACATAGCGGGATTTCGTAGACCGGCGGTATGATAATGGTGGGGGCGCTTTGGGATGTGCGCTATCGCTATTCCGGGGGGGGGGTTGTTAGAAATAGGAAGAGAGCTCCGATTACTATGAGGTATCGGCAATACAAGATGCATGCATTGCAAAGCGCGATAGTACTACACTACTTTCACGCCGGGAGCCCATCTGCGCTACTATATAGTATGAAGGACTTCGTCTGGGCTCTCAACCAGTAGCCTGCCTGCGCTCGTCCGGGGGGTAGAGGGGGTGGTAGACAGGGCAGGACTTTTCTTTTTGATGCCCCCGTTCACAACAGTAATGGTGGTATGATATGTTTAGGGGCCCTAGCAGTCGGCTGGGCCCTACTGTAGGGATCTAGTGTGGAAATTACCGATGAATTGATACTCCTTGCTGCTCTCCCAAAACTTCACGTCATGCAACTACAGGCAACTTTCTTTTGTATTCCCATTCACTAAAAACTCAGTATCAAGACAACTAGTCACAGAAACAACTGTAAGGCCGAGCCTAAATGGCAAATCCCCCCGGGACAGTACCAGTACCCGTGTCAGCTCCTTTCATTACCCCGGATGAGAGTACCGGTAGAGCAACATCCCCGTAGGCCTCGACAGAGCAACAATAGGCAAGTCAGCACCCGAATCATATTTATGTATGATACTCGGGTATATGCTGGAGGTTATGGTATTGTGCTACCCCCCTGACTCACAGCTATGCTGGGTTGATAAACGAACATGCGTTCCCCTCCCCAACATTTCCGTCCCTGTTGAGTGTACTGTATATGGGCAACGACCCTTGGTGTGATATGCACCAGCAGAGATGAGGGTTTGGATACCCGAAGAATTCGGGGTTGGAGTTTGTGGTCACATGTTGTTCAGCACTTGGATTTAGCCAGAGGGCCCGCGCATGAGAACAGTGACGAAGTTCCTTTCTCCTCCACCTCCAACCTCCTTCCGGTCTCCAGGCTTCTCCGCCACACAACACCCTTCAGACACAATTCCACTCCCCTCCCCAGAAACCACAAGACAAGATGGCCGCCGCACCCACCTCCCCCTCTACCCCGAGCACCCTATTTCACCTAGGCAGCCATGACCACTAGCCGACCCCAACCCCCCACCGCGATCCTCATCATGACGCTCAATAGTCCCGAGCGTCTGAACACCTTCACCCCACACATCGGGGAAAAGCTACGGATCGCATTCGCGCTCTTCATGGAGGGCGAGCGCGCCCGCTCAATAATCCTGACGGGCAGCGGGCCGCACGCGCTCCCTCTGGACGGATATAAATGGTGGAGTTCGATGAACCAAGGCCTGAACCACTGGGCAAAAATAGGGGAAAGTCGGCTGTTTCCACCGCTTCCTCCTCCCCCTCGCCATTACCGCCCGGCACGGCGATCGGAAATGCGCTCTGTAGGTTTCGGGGAGCGGACTATTGGCTAGTGTTCGTTACGGGGCAGGGCGGGGCGGGGTATTGTGGCGGCACTCCCCGCGCCGCCCCCGTATCTTCCCGCCCAAATTTGCCCGGGGCCCTTCTGGGGCATGGGTGGGGCGGGGCCCCGGAGGCCCCGTAACGAACTCTACTATTGGCATAGTGCCTGTGGTTGTGAGAGCGCGCTGACGCGGAAGTGGAAAGGGCCGCCATGGGTGTATACAAGTTCGGTAAACCGGTAGTCGCACCTATCCGGGATCGCCATGGCGCTCCCGTGCACTGTTCACGTTGAGGGGGAGGGCTCGAAGATCCCGTTCCCGTTCACCCGATGCGGACCGACCCCCGAGGCTTGCCGATATCGAATTGGGCAGCCGCGCGCCAGCATATCCTTACTACCGGTGGAAGGCTGCCCGCCCGGACCCTCTGCGGAGTGATCGGTGCACCTCCGGAGAGGGTGCCCGGCAGAGGTGCGCGGATTGCGTATCGTACCGGTAGGGGATTCCCGAGAAGACAAGTCTTGCCGGTACCTACCTGGCAAAGTTGCCAACGTGGAGGGGTCCGGGAGGCACCAGAGAGGCGCATCTACAGTATTGGATTCGGAGATTATATACCCCTTGTTCCATGGAGAGCGATCCTGCGACTTGGCCCTCGAAGCTCGGCAGCTGATTTTAGTAGGGATAAGGAGGAGGGCTCAGACCGTTTTTGGAAAAGAGGGAACCAAAGTTCCCTGAGTAGTTCCTAGAGATCTACCCAAGGATATAGTTCCGGAGTGGGAGGAGGTTGATTTTGGGTTTCTGCCAAATAAGGTTGATTCCAAGCTCTAGTCTGCGCACTATTGATAGCCAATTGTATTCTCAGACCATTAAACATACAAAAACAGGAGTATCAGCGAACCGAGCGCAAAGGAGAACACCTCGATACCGAGACTTGCATAGGGTGAAGGTTGACGGCGAAGGGGAAATGAAATGCGAACAATTGCTTGACATCAGGAGAGAGATGCGCGTGACATGTAAACTGAGAGTGCCCAAACCCCCAATTGATAACTAGTTCAAACGTTTCCCCACAACCCCACCCCACAATCAAGGAATCGGCCCCATGACCCGAGTGATGGCCTACTAAGCTATATCTTAAAATCGTACACTCTCAAACATTCGTGCGAAAAACAATCGCCAAAACACACCTATCCGTACATCTATCCTACTACAACTTACAACCCAAAACATGTCTACAATCTCATCGCCTCTTCAGTCTCTTCCTTCCGCGCGTGTTCCTTCCAAAGGTTTATCTCGTTCTTCATTAACGCAGCAACGTCCTCTAGTTTAAGTCCACCCAAACATAGTTCGTCATCGGGAACTACCTCCTGAGAGCCCCATTTCAAATTAATTCTTGTTTGACCAACTTTGACACTTCCATTGCTGAAAATAGCATCGATAAACTCGCCCATATTTGCAATGCACTTTTTCGAGAGGTCAAGGTGTGGGATGATCACTTGGAAGCAGTGTGGCATGGCGGTAAATTTCAAGAAGCGAACACACACATTAGACGCTAAAAGTCGGTGGGTAAAAAACACTACCCCCGTTAGTATCGGGGCCGTTGATGAGAGGAGGAAGGAGGCCCACAATTCGAGTCCCGCAAACACTCATCCCCGATACACATCCAGATTGGCGGGGATCCATGCCATGATTCAGCAACAATTGGGGAAACAAGCGGATGAGAAATCAGCTCATCTGGGGCATAAAACTGTCCAGATTAGTGCCCTTCCCCCTCGAGAAATGACGACAAGAGAACATACATGAGTTCTCCCTGGATTTTCCGGCCAAGCTGGTGACGGAGGGTATCTTCTCCCCCGATAGTCGGTAGGTGCCGGCAGATAGTCCCATTCTTTGCATTCCTCCTCACTTCCTCTACTCCCATTTGGCAACCTGATCTCACCGAAGCATCGACTAACATCTACCCAAGAACTTACTCCTACTATTCCCCCTGGTAGAGGGATAGGTCTTTGGGATGTTCGCCAAGAAATGCAGAAGTTTTCCTCAGCCAATGGGAAGCCCTCATCTTTGGCTTTAGAGGTGGGTTCCGGTGTATGGTTTAAGTGTAGCAAGAGTTGCAATAATGCGAAAGAGAGCCCACCTCCAGCTGAGTCACCAGCAAAGATGATCTTAGAGGCGGGTACTGGGGAGTGTAGAGCACCTGGCGGCGGATATAGGAGATATAGGTAGCTTATCAGGGCGTCGATTAGGGCCGCCGGAAAGGGGTTTTGCGGTGATAGGCGGTATCGGGGAAGGAATACACGACCTAAAAATCAGCGACTGGTCATCCAGGGTATCCGAAGAAAGCAAACCTTTAGTAGTTCTTGCTACCTTGCGCGCAATGGATCTGTGGGTGACGGGGTCACACAGGCTATATCAACATTAGTAGGTCGAAGAATACCAGAGGAAGTAATGAGAGATTTACAAATATGCTCCTGGAAGTCAATTAGCACCGTGCCCTTCCGCTCAAGCTGACAGTAAAAAATAAGTAAAAAAAACATACCTCCATGGAACCATAACACAACTCCACTATCCTCTCCACCCTCCACTTCCCTCATCAAGCCATCATATTTTTCCTCCTCACTCAAGTTCTCTCTCCGTCGTTCGGCCGCCTCATCTCGTTCCCCCCCGGAAACAACTTTCCTGTTACCAACCCATTCCCCCGTTAAACTCTTGGCCCCCACTTTGGGTACGTGCTGCCGAATACCCACATCTCCGAGCTCCTCAACAACCGTTTCCACGATTCTCTCGATTAACTCTCCATCTGCGCTGCCTACCGGAATCTGTACATCCACCTTCCAAGTGTGCGGTTCAACCTTTAGCTGCTTCATCGTCAAGCTTTGAATGCTTTCGACGGTTTGTAAACCGTCATCAATCGTTCTAGCGAGGTAGCTTCGTAATAACTCGACAGTAAGCGTTGTCCGCAGATCCCAAGACCGAGACTGCGGGGTTAACGAGAGGAAATGGGTTGTTGACTTGAGGAGAAGGTTTGGTAGGTGAGGTACTATAGCTTTGAGGGCACTAATTTTGGAATCGCGCCCCAACTGCTCTTTTTCCTGGGTGGCCATGGTGGAGGTTGTGCTTGATGAGGCGAGAGAGAGAGTTGAAGAACGCCCCCTCGGCGGCCTACTCTTGTGAAAACGCATCGGACCAACTAAGCACGCTATATAATTTAGCAAATACCCAACACCGACTACCAGCACCAGCTAATCGTCTTTTCTACGGCGAGGTTCGAGAGCGGGTCATAAAGTGTAGAATATAAGGAAAGAGGGAAAACGCGTCTGAGAACCAATCAGGAGGTGATGTCATGTGAACATCCCAAAAAATAAAGTCCCGTAGTTCCCACATCACCCCTTTTCTCTCTTTCTCAGTCTTTTCTCTCAAGTGCTCAGGCTCAGGCTCTACTCGAGTACTGGTAAAGGAAAGGGAAGAACAGGCTGTGTGAGCAATTACAGATTATTTCCATCAATCTGTTACCCGAAGCAGGAAACCTGCACACTTTAGCAACTACCGGTATGACACAAGTAGATAGGGGGTCCTTGGCTGGTAAAGTACTTGTATGAAAACGAACAGAGACCCAGAGGCGCAAGGGTCTTTGGTAATGGTTTTCCCCTGATCGGGTCCTCGCTTAACGACCATCCTCAGATCCACCATCACATGCCCGCTCGACGCGGGGTTTTCATAGGCCAGTGCGAGTCAAGGAAATTTGGTCCTTCTTGCCTTGCTTTACCGGTATGTATGGGAGCCCAGTATTTTTTTTTGTTCCCCCCGAGTGAGAGACTATGCTGTCGTCCTCCCACACGAAACACGCAGCCGGGAAAAGCAGAGCCATGGTAGCAAATATCTTTAGGGGAGGCATGTGAAATCTCTACCTTACCTTCCCATTTGCGCTCCCGTACCCGTTTTCGCACCTGGCAAAACATCATGCACTTTGTATGAATAAAAAAGCGGTCAGCGTTACGCTTTTACGAAACTCTACTGGAAAAAAATGGCAGGTACCGCTATTCTCCAGTGATGCGAGTATTGTTTTCTTTTCTTTTCAAATTTTTTTTTTGAGTTTTATAAACCCTTACAATGCTCACCGATATTACAAGAGAGGGGGAGGAAGGAAAAATAAGAGAGGATGTCCAACTTTCAGATACAATGATTTTTACAAAATCTTTGGCAAGAGAGATTTCTTCAACTTCCGATTCTAATTGGACGCCTGTCCTCCTGGCCGGTATCGGGGCTTCCATAATTGGGTGACTCAGGTATTCATACTCCAGGGGCTCAACGCCTTGGTAAATACGGTGATGATGAAGGTTGATACATGTAATGTTCAGGGAGTTGAAATACCGGTAAGTATCATACTGTACGAGTATTATGATAGTACTATAGCAAGCAAGTGCCGGAAACCTAAAACAGACCCTCTCGTTCACTTCATCACGCTTAGTAAGAATAACAGGAGTACCGTGGCTCCTTGATAGGGAAATTTCCGTGTGTTCGTTTTTCTCGGGATACCCCACCCATCGCTCTCAACTGATATTCGTTTCGCCCAAGGGGCTGGCTTTGCGTGATTGGGGAGGGGCCAATGTTGGGTATCCAGGGCCTTTGGTCTTGTTGGGCCCGCCCATTCGTCGTTGGATTTTGCGGCGGTGGTAACTGACGATTTCGGAAGCCCGGCACCGCATCCGAGTACTTGTATCCCGCAAGAAGTATCTGAAAACCGGGCATATGTGACCGCGAGTGAGGCTAGGGTAGGTATAGCTGGGATGAGTCCAGGGCACAGCAGGGGTTCTAATAGGAATCCTTCAGTGATGTTCTGACCGCAAGAAGGGGTTTTAGAGGTTAGAGTGAATGAGTAAAGCTTTAGAAAAGGGCGGAGTATCTGCAGTAAGGTGTTCATATAGTATAAGAGGCCAGACATTGCAAATTGATTGTGATACGGAAATTTGATAAAATGATGGTAAAGATACAAGAAACCTCCTACAAACAATAATGTAATATACAAGTGCTTTGATTTGAGGCTAGGTGGGCGTATAGGCAAGTTGGTAGGGATCGTATAGTGGGTGTATGGACTGTATGGAATATTTACTATGTTCTGGTAGCTTCAAAGGAGTGAGGAGACTATTTCAAGAGACCAAATACTTTAGCCTGATACTACTTGATCAGGAATACCATTCTAAATGCTGAATACTACAGAAAAATAGCTTTTGAGATTGCTAAAATTTGTGGAGTTCAGGAATCTCAGGCTGAGTGAGTAATTGGGGAAGCCCTGAACAGGAGAGGATATGGGTCTTAGCTTGTATATAAGAAAGTATGATATATTCTTTTTGTAGGTTGTGACTTCAAATTCACGACCGATTACAACGGAAGCGCATGATAGTTCTTTATTTTACAAATTATACAGAAAACCTAGAAAGATGAAGTTTCGGGTTGGTATAAGCCGTATGATACGAACTTTGTAATCTCTACATCACTTCTTTTCACTCGATATCATTCCTACCAGGCATCACCCCCTACAACCGAGTAAAGTCCCCGATCTCGAAGCTTAATTTAAGGAGCTTTTAGGGTATTTTGAAAACCCCGTTTCTAGGTTAAGCGCTCTACCCGAGCGCAATATAGCACACATGTGGCTCCTGCTGCTTGTGCTGATACTTGTGCATGCGGGCGTACCCTGCCGTAGTAAAGTCCGATACACGTGTAGCCGCACTTGTAGCTCCTAGAGCCAAGGTTACCACCGCACTCTCCACTGCGATGACTCTGGCGACGGGGTTCAGTTGTACTCCTCCCAATTCCATTGCAAACTACGCATCGACAAAAACTCCCCTATGCCCTACTGTATGCCGCCGAGGGGCTATAGCCAACAGCTTGAGCCTGCAGAGTTGGGAGTGTGTATGGATTACCGTGGAACACGATGCTTGCTAAGTTTAGCACCCTACTCGCAGATACTAAACTGAGTAAATCTAACCTACCCGATTACTTATCAACTCTATGCCCCATCTTTCTTAGCGAGACCCCATATGGCCACACCGGTTCTCCCTCTTATCAGCCACCCTGTGATCATGCATACAAGCAACTAGACGCTCTGAAATCGGCTATGGTAGCCTAGGTAGCAGAGTGTGCAAAACCGAGTTTTAGAACGTAGCACCAGATACGTGTAGCTAAGGTGGTATATTGTAGGCATAGTTCTAATGTGATACCGGGGCTCGATCAACATCATTAATATTTCCCCTAGTCCTCTTCGGGAGGCTGGCACACCAGGGTCTTCGACGATTTCTCCCCGACAAGAGCAATATTTGGACACGGTGGCAGCCGCTGCCTGGTGTTGAATGCGTGAGAACTCTTGTATTGGGGGTGCCCAAAATACCGCCAGAGCTCTCGTTTTGATGAATAATCGTATTCGGAGGTGGCAGCCATGGGCTAGGCTCCATAGAGTACTCTTTGGGGGGAGGGGGAATTTGGCCCGGGCACATCCTAATCCCTGAATGGTAGTTTGGTCACCGCTTCAATGATATTTTACCCCTGAAATCGTTCTTCTACTGAGAGCTACTTCACCTGCGGGGATAGGGCCTTTTCGTTCACTACCCTTTTGCGAAATTGCCACAATCCGGGCGAACTTGAGGATAAAGCAATGGAGGTTCTAGATACTGAAACAAGTCAGAAGGGAAATAAAGGCTCTCCTGGGTAGTTTCTAGGCAGCAAGGCCCCTCTACCACGAGCGCCGTCCTGCTAAGAAAACCAGCGTGCCCGCGTTGGGTGAACCATTAGAGGGTGTTGAAGATATGGGGGTTGCCTTTCTTAAGCTCGGCCGGACCACCAAGGTTTTTGCAAATTATAATATATACAACCACGCCCTCAACCCCAATTGGATACTAGCAAGGCTCAAACAAGAAAGAAGTTTTAATACCTCAAATCCCTAGCTGTCGGGTCGCCTAGGCCCATACTAGGGTACAAGAGAACCGAGTGAGGTATGATGATCAGGGAAGCAACGTCAGCTCCACGCTGTAGGTTCAGGTTCCCGAACTTTATAGAGCCGAGGTGATCGGACCTCTCGATCGAGTTTCACCGCCTCCACAGTTTTCCCTTTTCACCAACAGTCGCCCAATTTTGTATCTCCTTTTTTTTATCGTTAACATGATTAGCCAAAAAAACCCACCAATAATTTTTTGCCTCTTTGGGCACCTGAACTTGCTGTCTCTGGGGACGGCCCTGGAGAGTTACTCTCGAGGATCCTCTACTTGTGCCGAACACTATGCTATAGTGAGAGAAACCGTGAGACGTGGTGTCGAGCTGTAGTGCGCTGAAACTAGTTTCGACTGCTACCGTCATATTGTAGCTATCCGCCGATATTTGATATTCATCATATGATATTGAGCCGTCCTTGCTACTACTCTCTTAGCAGGCGGAGACTGACGATACAGGAATGTCATATTCTAAGAAGTATAAGAGCCGGAAGTAGTCATTATGGTAAAAACAAGGACTCGTTCTCTGCTCCCTAGTAGCCCCTATCACTACCAATCGAGTCCGAGTTTCCCTAGCGAGGCCGGCTTGGCATCGCGCCACTACGGTTACCGGTGGCTAACATGAGTCGAGTACCAGTAAATTCAGGAGTCGCCTGACAACAGATTGGCGTACCTTGCCATTGTTTGTGCACGGAACGCCTCTTTTTCAATTTCCCTAAAGCCGTAAAAAATCCTGTGAAGCATCCGGACGAGACGTTTTAACTCTCCTGCATAAGCTTCTGTGTCCTCTAATTTCATAAACCTAACCCTGCCGGAAGACTATTAAAGCACTTTGGCAAATTCTTGAGATATTTTTTTGGGGGGTAAATAGCTGGTCAGAGGCATGCGCCAACTCATCACTAGCCTTGAAGGTGGTTGTGGGTCGAGAGTGAAAATAAAGTTCCCACTCGATGCACTTGACAAACACATACGCGGAGAATGAGGAAGCTAGGGTGGAGAAGAATAGTCCGAAGATCACAAGATCCGAACGTGGTTGCGGAGACGGTTTTCAATCAATCGTTCGACAGATCAAGTTCGGAAGGCAGGGGGGGTCCCCGGATCAGGTATCAATAAGTCTCAACTGAGCTAGGCAAGTGGCTGTCTGTGACAATATTATTATTCCCCTTGATATAAAGGGCACTCGCTAGATAATGAGGCCCGGAGTATATGGACAGAAAACTACAGATAAGTACACCGGAGCATGGGTAGTGTGTGCATATCGACCGTGGCTGTTTCTTCT